GGGCTCCTGGCCACACAACCCAGCTCGCCCGACCTCTGCCCACGCCAGCCCAGCAGCACACACAAACCAAAGCAGCCCGAGCTGGGCTCCAGGAAGGCGAAGTGCAAATCCCGTCTCTTTGCGTCCCACCCGCCCCCTTCCTCTTCCTGTTGACCTGCTCCTGGGTGAGGGTCAGGTGAAGAGGGTGCATGTGACTGACTTAGGGCCACCACCCTGGCCCCTCTGGGAAGGAGACACAAGTCCCACCCTTGGGGAGCTCCCAGTCCCAGGAGGGTGCTCGGGCTGGGGGAAGGAGGGTCCAGGGACACTTCCAGCACTTGGGGACTCTCTGGGGCAGCGGGGTAGGTGTGGCTGCAGAGAGGCCAGTGGCTGGCGGGGTCTGAACAGACAGGGCACTGGAACTCCGGGTGGGAGCACGCTGGGGCTTCATGCCCAGGGCAGAAGGGAGCCATGGAAGGTTGTAAGCAGGGGGAGATGTGGTCAGGTGGCTGCCATGCAGGGAAGGGACTGAGGAGGGGGTCTCAGGGAAACCCCAGAGTGAGCTGTTGTGATAGCCTGGTGAGGGTGGGAACCCTAAGGAGGGCTGTCATGGGGGCCAGGGGGTGGGAGAAGGGGCATTGAGTGTTTCATGGGGACAGAGATTCAGTCTGGGAAGATGAGAACGTTCTGGAAGGTGGGGATGGTTGTACAACAGTGTGAATGTGCTCAGTGCCACTGAGCTGTGCGCTTTAAAGTGGTTAAAACGGCAGGTGTTATGTTATGTGTATTTTATCACAATTAAAAGAGAACAAACAGAAAAGTACCAGTCCTGGCTGCCAGGAGCAGTGGCTCACGCCTGTCATCCCAGCACTCTGGGGGGCGGAGGAGGGAGGATCACTTGAGCTCAGGAGTTCGAGACCAGCCTGAGCAAGAGCGAGACCCCGTCTCCACCAAAAATAGAAAAAATTAGCCGGACATGGTGGTGGCACTTGTAGTCTCACCTACTTGGGAGGCTGAGACAGGAGGATGGCTTGAGCCCAGGAGTCTGAGGCTGCAGTGAGCTATGATGACGCCACTGCACTCTAGCCTGGGCGACAGAATGAGACTCTGCCTCCAAAAACAAACAAACAAACCCAGTCCTTTGTGTGCATCTAGTGGGTAGAGGCTAAACATCCTACAATGCACAGGACACACACACACACACACACGCACACACACACCCACAAGGAATCATCTGCCCCAATGTCAACAGCGTGGAGGGTGAGAAACCCAGCTGTGAAGGCACCTCCTCCTGGAAGTCCCCCTGGATTTGACACACCCACTGCCCTTCCCTTCTTCCTTTCGCAACACCAGGAGCGGTTGAACGGGGTGGGGGGCGGGTGAGCCCGGGGCTGTGTCGCGGTGAGGTTGGTGGATCAAGGTCCCCAGCGCCGGCGGTGGGGACAGGGGTGCTCCTCCGCGGGGCCCTGTCCCAGGTGCTGAGGCTCCGCGACGGCGCCGCGGACGTGGCTCCGCCCCGCGCACAGCGCAGGCGGGGGTGCTGGGGACGGGAGCGTCGCGGAGGGCGAGCTGCAGTGGAGTTGGGATTCAGGTCAGCTAAGGCTGGGATCCCCGCCCGGGGCCTGTTTAGGGTCGTCGTGGTCGGACCCCAGCCCCAGCCCGGCGCCTCCCCCGCCCCGCCGAGGACCTGGAACCCGAAAGAAGAACCGACACCCCAGATCCGAGCCCACATCCGCGTGGCTTTCTGTTTTTCCCCAAGCGAGCGAGAGGCCTGTTGACACCGCAGAGGGGCAGGGGGAGGGGCGGTCGCGTGACGGGGTCCCCTGGGCCCCCGCAGCATCCTCTTGTCAGAGTGGAGCCCTGGCAGGGACCCAGCAGGCAGAGCCGTCGCGCCCAGGAAGAACACGGCGGGCACACGTGGGCGCACGGTGGCCTCGGGCTGGGGCGCCCGGACCTGCCGAGCTCTGGGAAGCCCAGAGACGCCAAACCCAGCCTTGTCCTGGATCCAGACCTCAGTCCCTGCGCCCTCAACACAGCCTGACTGGACTTGTTCCCAAGCTTCCTCCTCCTCCTCCCTGTGTCCCCATCTTGGGGACAGCCCAACTGTCCACTCAGACACCCCTGTGGAGGGCCGGGCACTGTCCAAGCACTTCCCAGCCCCCAGCCCCACACCACACCCACCGCCCAGCTCTTCTCAAACCACCTGCCTCTCCCTGTCCCCACGGCCACTGTCCCTCTGCCCCCAGGACCAGGTGACAGCTCCCTCTTAGAGGCTGCTTGACCCTGGGACAGCCTCCTCCCTGGCCTCCCACCATTACCTGGCCCCCAAGATGGTTCCCCTCGGAGCCTCGCCTCCTGCCCCACCCCCTTGAGCGTCCCCTCCGTGTCCACCCCCCTGCATGGCCTCAAATGCTGCCCTTCCCCCACAGCTCCCAGCAACCTCTGTCTGCTCCCGAACACCCACTTCCTCAAGCTTTAGCCCAGGTCAAGGTCAAGGAGGACAATGTGGGGACCCAAAATGAACAGCCTCAGACCACCAGAGACATTCGTTCAACAGGCATGTACCAAAGGGCCACCCGATCCAGGGTGACGAGCAAGGCATATGGTCCCCGCTGTCCTGGAGTGCACGGTCCAAGGGGACAGTCCAGCCAGGCCCTTCCCTGACATGGTGGGGACAGACGTCCAGCCCCAGCCTAGCCTGGTCCCAGTTGGGAGGTGCAGGGGCGGGTACATACGGGGGGGGGGGGCATCTTCTGGAGTGACAGGTGTGAGGAGTGGCCCATCCAGGAGCCGGGCTTTGGGAAAGGTGAGCGGGGACAAGGTTAAGGGTCAGGGGACACGTCTAAGGGAAGACAAAGTGGGCAAAATGCCAAGGAGCCTCCTCCCGACAGGAGGTAGTGTGTGCACAGTGGTTAGGGCTGCGATGTCCGACCACCCTGCCTGGGTTCAAATCCCAGCTCTGCCGTTATAAGCTGCGTGACCTTGGGCGAGTTACTTAATCTCTCTGTGCCTCCCATCCTTCATCCACAAGGCGACCCTGACAATCCAAGCATCAACCTCCTAGGGGGTGTGAAAATGAAATGTGCTGACCCATGCAGGACACTAAGGACTGTGCCTCGTGTGTGTTGCTACTAAATTAAACTGTACAACAAAACCGCCAGTATTTGACCGGAATGTTAGCTCCTGTAGCTTTCCTTTATCCTGCTCCTCCCTCCCTCTGTCTCTCCGTGCCATGGTGGCATCACCACGCAATGCGCAGCAACCTTGGTTTCGAATCTGATTCTACCCTTCTCTCTGCCAGCATTTTGGGACGAGGCTGACGGTTCTGGGCTCGCTTGGTTTGCTTACCTAAGAAATGCAGATAATAATAGTATGGACTTCACCGGGGCGTGGGGGGCACGAGAAGAGGCCATGCGTGTCGTGTTTGCCGGGTGGCGAGCCCCCGTGTTAGTGGACGAAATAGGACTGCCTCGGTTGTCAGAAGGAAGTATCTCGCTTCCTGCTTCTACTCTCTCCTGGACGGCCCTGGCGACTGCTCCGACCGGCCCAAGGCCCAGGAGGACGGGACGCGCCCAAGCCCACGTGAGTGAGCCGGTGGCTGTGTGTGTCGGGGGTTGACAGCGCGAGGTGGACATGGATGGTTTCTCGAAAGAAAACAACCTTGGGCTGAGCCTCGAGAGCTGGCGGGAGGGAGTGGGTGGATCGCGGCCACGGTGGGACAGAATCTGGAAGCCTGTGGACTGGTTTGGGGAGTGAGAGCCGGCCATCGGCACATGGCTGAGCAGGGACGATGCTCTTGGCCAGGGCACTGGGGGCTGATGGTAGAGGGCCTGGGGAGCCATGGAAGGCTGTAGGCAGAAGCAGGATCTCTGGGGTTAGAAAGACCGCTACCGCCTGACACTTGCCAACAGAACACCCACCCTGTGTGACATGGACAAATTACTTTCTCCCTCCGCTCAACTGAGAGAACTTGCAGAGGGAGGAACTCCCCGGCACCTGACAGTAGGTTTACTGAGCACTACTGTGTCTGGCTGTTTGCACACTCCCAGTTTACAGATGAGCAAACTGAGTCACTCAGCGGGGGCTCAGCCATGTCCAGCTGCCTCCCTGCAGTTGTGGCCCCAGGATGGTGACACCTCTGGCCGCCCCCACAATACTAGAGGAGTGGCCACCCCCACCTCTCGCTCCCTGGAGGCTCAGACAGGGGAAGGGACTTGACCATGGTCAGGCAGCAGCGGGTGGGTGACCTCCAGGTTCGTCTGACCCCCACCATGCTCTTTAGCACATAGTAGGTGCTTTCAACTCAAAGGACTTTACGGATGCCCTGGCACATCGGCAGAGGAGGGAGCCGGTGCCTGGGTGACGGAGTTCGGCGTCTCCCAGCAGGAAGTGGCAGAGAGGGAGAGGCTTGGTAAACATGTAGGACCTGAAGACCCACTGTGTGCAGCACCCCCACCGAAGGCCCCCATGTATCATGGTCTCATTGGATCCTATCACGACCTCATGAATTGAGAGCCGTCACCAGCCCATATTACAGAGGGAACACTGAGGCTCAGAAGGTTGAGTGCACAGGCAGCATCATGACAAGAGGTGGCGATGCTTTTGCTGTAGACTGTCACCGGGCCACATTCAGGAAAGAAGTTTCGAGGTCAATCAAGCACTTGCAAAGATCTCGGCAGGGGAGGAGGGGCACACTTATTGAGCACCTGCTGTGTACCTCGAAGGTGATGGGCTCCGGGCTGCCTGGCTTCTGGTCTCAAGCTGGTGTTCCTCCACCCCAGCTGTGTCTCCCAGCCAATCAACCTATTGATTCCAGGCGGTGGTCTAAACAAAGCCAGCGACTGGTCCCCAAGCCCCCAAAGTCCCAGAGGCTGTCCCGTGCCAGTAACTAGAGCTCAACGCCTCTCCCCAACCCTCTGTCAAACCCCAGATCCCAGCTGGAGAGTGTGACTGTGCTCGCTAACTGGACCGCCTTGGCAAGTAGTGAGCGCCCCGTCTCTGAGAATCCAAGTAGGGCCACCATGGAGGAAAGCCGATACTCAGGTGGGAGGACTTTCTGGTGCTAACCCTGGGAAAAGCAGGGCCCCTCCCCTGCTACCTTTCACCCAGGGAGGAGGGGAGGCCCCCAGTGCTTCTCTAGAAAGGAGGGGAAGTTCTAAGAAAGGCCCCAAGGGTGAGGGTGAGGGTCAGGAGCCCTGACCGGCCTTCCTGGCGCAGAGCCAGGCAGCAGGGGCAGGGGGGGGCCCTCCTTTTTCTGACTCAACACCCTCCCGGACAAAAACGGCCCCAGCTGGGAGCCCTGGGCGCTTGAAGAGCCGGAGGCCAAGCAGAGCGGCCCAGGAGAGGGTGGCATTTGCCATGAGTCCTCAGAGGCCACGTGAGGGGAGGGGCTGGGGGCCGCGGTGGGGCACCAAGGCAGAGATCTGGGGGGCTCAGGTGTGGGTGAGGCTGGGGGGGTCTGGGGAGTGGCTCAGATGTGGGGGAAGAACGGGAACCCAGGGTCCTGCGCTCAGGGAAGGGTCTAGAGTTGGGGACAAGCATCAGGTGTAGAGCTGGAGGGTCCAGAGGCGTAAGGGTGGGGCTGGGCTCAGGCGGGAAGGGGAAAGCAGGACCCAGCTTTCTGGAGGTGACGCTGCTTGGAGGGGGACGGTGTCAGCTTCTTCGTGTCTCTGGACAGTGACTTGGACCCGAGTCAGGAGGGGAAGGCATGCAGAGGGCTGGGGGCCGCTGAGCCCCTCTGCTTCGGCGTGGGGCCCCAGGCTCCCGGGACCGGGGGGGCCCTGGGCATGCGCAGAGCCGGAGCCCAGCCTCACCCTGGGCCTCCCGTCACACGCCCCCACAGGGTTCTCGGAGTCACCCAGGAAGCGGTGCTGTGGGTGGGGGACCCGGCTTGTGCTGCTGGGGCTGGCCACCGCCGCCCTGTGGGCCGGGCTGCTGTCCCTGCTTCTCATGTGGCGTAAGGACACCCCCAGCCCCGTCTGTGCCCCCCAATCCTCCGTGCTCCCTCCCAGACCCTCTCCCCACGCCCCTGCCCTAGAGCCCCTCACCCCAGCCAGCACCCCCGTTTCCCACCCCCTGAGCAGCCCCCCACGGGCGACACTCAAGGCCTCCATCCTCAGCTCCCAGGAGGGGCATGGGAGGGCGGGGCCACAGGACAAGCCCCCCACCCTGTCGCTCTGCCCCTCCCCAGACTGGGACACCCTGCGGAGTCAGAGACTGCTGGAGGAGGCGACTGCACGCAACGGTATGATGGGGAGGCAAGGGGGGGGTGGGTTGAGGGTTAGGACACCAGCTGTCGTCCTGCTTCCGCCAGGGCCTGCCAGGGCAATGCCCCTCTCTGGGCCTCACAGTCCCCCCCAAGGGTCAGCCCGTGTTGCTCCCCGCCCTGGGCAGGGGGTACCCAGGCAGCGCGGCTTGGAGCAGTGCCCGGCAGCAGCTTGATACACACGCCCCTCCACTCACAACGGGGCTCTGCCCCCAGTGCTCCTCATACACTGAGAATATCAGAAATCAAAAAGGCACGGCTTGGCCAGGCGCGGTGGCTCACGCCTGTCATCCCAGCACTCTGGGAGGCCGAGGCGGGAGGATCACTCAAGGTCAGGAGTTCGAGACCAGCCTGAGCAGGAGCGAGACCCTGTCTCTACTAAAAATAGAAACAAATTAATTGGCCAACTAAAATATATATATATGTGTGTGTAAAATTAGCCGGGCATGGTGGCGCATGCCTGTAGTCCCAGCTACTCGGGAGGCTGAGGCAGGAGGATCGCTTGAGCCCAGGAGTTGGAGGTTGCAGTGAGCTAGGCTGACGCCATGGCACTCTAGCCCGGGCAACAGAGTGAGACTCTGTCTCAAAAACAAAAAAGGCATGGCTAGCTGGGGGCTGTGGCTCCCTGCCATGACCCAGGATTCCCAAGAGAAGTACCATCGCCGCTGAAAGCCTAATACTTTAGCACCACCCTAAAGTCCAGCCACTGCGAGTTGAGCCATCGTAAGTCAGGGACCATCGGTATCTGTAGATGGCAGGAGTTACTGCTACATGCCTCAGTTTCCTCATCTGTGAAGTGGGCACAAGTTTAGTGCTGTGAGATGGCAGCCAGCAAAGACTCGTGACTCGCTCAGAGAAATGCCCGCTGCTTTTAAATTTAATCCTGGGTGAGGGAAGGGCACACATGTTCGTTCTACTCTTGCCTGTACCTGCCTGAACACGAAGGAAGGAAGGAAGGGAGGGAGGGAGGGGCAGAGGGACGGAGGGGGGAGGGAAGGGGGAGGGAAATATGAGGGGGGCCTCTGCGGTGGGCCCAGGGTGGGGTTCAAGGACGTGCCTTTGTGATTCCTGAGGACACATCTCCTCTCCCGCTGCCCCAGTCTCCCGCCTTTCCAAGGACTTGCAAAGACGCCAGCATGACCAGGTGGCCCAGGAATCCCAGGGTGAGCCACCTCTGGTTGGCGGGAAGGGGGAGAAGGTCTTGGATGGCCCCGGGGGACACGGAATGTTGGGACCAACTGTGCCCCCCTCCGGACACCTGTGACCTGCAGAGTGAACAGGTGGCTCTAAGAACCCAGGCAAAGAAAGAGTCCAAGGGACAGGGTGGGGGCAGATGGGGACTGGCTTGCCACTAAGCCCCTCCCCTCAAACAGCTGCCCAGATGTTGCAGCACATGGAGGAACTCCGAGCTGAACAGAAGAGACTGAAATCTCAGGGTGAGAGACCGGGCGGGGGTGCGGGGCTGGACTGGGAGGGAGGGAGTGTCCCACAGCGGTCTGGGGGGAGGGGACCCTCCGGTCCGTCTGCATCGCCTCGGCGACCAGCCCTGCCCTTCAACGCCCATCAGAGTCCGAGCTGTCCGGCCACCTGGATACGCTCCTCGCGGACCTGAACAACCTCAGGGCCCAAGGTGAGGCTTGGCCGGGAATCGGGGGCGTGGGGGGCAGGGAAGGGACAAGGAGGGGACCCGCCAGTGGGTGCCTGAGCCCCGCCGCCCTCCCCGCTCTCCCTCCTAGCCTTGAACGCGGGGCGCGCAGCCTCAGACTCGGCGGCGAGACTCCAGGAGGAGGTGGCGAGGCTGCGGGTGGAGCTGCAGCTGTCCAAGGGTGAGCGCAAGGGACAGCGCCGGGACGCGTGTGGCCGCGCCTGCTGGCCAGTGTGGGCGACGGGCATGTGTGGGGGGGGGCGTGGCGTGAGGCGGCACGTCCCTGCGATCGTGCGGCCCGAGTGTCGCTGGGAGACACGCAGGCACGTGTGCTCGGATGTGCGGTGCATGTGCTGTGTGTGACACCTGGATGGGCCTGAGTTTATGGCCGGGCAGGACACACGGGGCGGGCAGAAGAATGTCCCTTCTGACCCCAACAGTGTCCCTCCACCGATCTGGCGGCGGGCGGGGGGTCCCCACACGATTGTCCTGCCCGGGTCAAAGCAGTCCGGCGTTGACCACCTCTCCGGTCCCTTTGCCGCTGTGCTCTGCCTGGCATGGCTTAGCGGGAGGTCACCGGTCCCTTACGGAAGATTGTCTGCCAGCCCAGGGGGCCAGACGGGGTCATGTCTCCAACAAGGGGACGATGAGGATGGTGGCATCTTCCCCAGGGGTGGTGGCCATAGGAGGGCAGCAGGCTGCAGAGAGAGCAGACATTCATTCATTCAATCCCTGTACCTTTATTTTTTTTTTTAGACAGAGTCTTGTTCTGTTGCTCAGGCTAGAGGGCCATGGCGTCAGCCCAGCTCACAGCAACCTCAAACTCCTGGGCTCAAGCGATCCTCCTGCCTCAGCCTCCCGAGTAGCTGGGACTACAGGCACGAGACACCATGCCCAGCTAATTTTTTACATATATATTTTTAGATGTCCAGCTAATTTCTTTCTATTTTTAGTAGAGATGGGTGGTCTCACTCTTGCTCAGGCTGGTCTCCAACTCGTGACCTCAAGCGATCCTCCCACCTCGGCCTCCCAGAGTGCTAGGGTTACAGGCGTGAGCTGTCGCACCCGGCCAATCGCTGTACCTTTAACGTGGTGTGGGAACCGGGATTTTACAGCCCTGCTGCCCGGCCCCAAACCAACAGCCCTGCCCTTGAACCGCATGCGGTCTCCCGCCGCCGGGAAGCCCCCGCTGCCCCAACCGGGTGAGAGAAGAGGAAGGATCTTTGCTTGGTGTGAAGGAGTCTCGTCCCCTGGGATGTGGGAATCCCAGCAAGAAACCGCACTGTGGTCCCTCGGGGACGGGGGGGGTGGGGTGGACAGGGGATTCTGGGTCATGCTCACTCCTGACAGGTCACCTCCCAGGTCCTACCCAGTCCTTGAGGTCCCCCATGGCCTGGGGTCCGAGCCCAGCTCTGGGGCTATGACCAGGTAAGGAACAGCCAAGGCTCCTCCCCCAGAGTTTTCTTTAAGGGCCCAGAGGTGTCCCCTCCCTGTGTTAACAGCACGCCCCCAGAGCCCCGCCGTCCCCTTCTGCCCTCCCTGCTGTCTCGCCTGGCCAGCATGCCTCCAACGGGAGTGAAATCATCTCGGCTTCCCCAGAAGCGGCCAGGAGCTCTGGTTGGGGGGTGCTGCCGGCCATGGTGGCCGCCAGGGCTGTCGGTGGGGACAGTGCTGGGAGGAAGTGACTCGGGTGTACCTGACCATGGCACCGCCGCCCTTGGTCCTGGTGGTTGAGACGTGGCTGGCGCGGCTGGCAGAGACGGCATTGGCCACGGCGTGCGTGGCGGGGACCCGTCCCCAGCGGTAGCGGGTGCCCGTGGCCGTGATGCCGGCGAGCAAGTGGCCGTTGACCTTGGAGGTATCCGTGGCAGTGGTGGTTGAAGGTGTTTGAGAAACGGCTGGGTGTGGCATTCACAGCGTGGTGGCCGTGGTGGCCACCGGCTGTTGCCGGCCATGGCGGTGACAGTGGCGGCGGCTGAATGTCACTGGGCGTGAATGTGGCGGTAGTGTCGGTGACTGAGGTGCCACGTGCCTATTTATGACGATGCTGTTGGCGGTTGAGGAGCTTCAAGCCACAGGGGGTCTGTGGTGGTGGCAGTGGTGGGGGAGGGGCTGCCACCGTGCAGCGCTGGCAGCGGCGGCGCTGGGAACCGCCGTTCTGCCCACCGCGGACGTGCTTGTGGCGGTGGGGCGGGTGGCCACGGTGCTCCTGCCGGGGAGCTGGCCAGCGCCAGAACCCCAGGGAGGGAGGCAGCCTGCAAGACTCTATTAGGTGGCCGCGGGGCGGGTCAGCTTTCAGCCCAGACCCAGGAGTGACCCCAGGAGGACGCTGCCCCCCGCCGGCCCACCTCGGTGCCCACTGCCCCCCCTCCTCCCCCCCAGGCGTGACATGCAACACCTGCCCCGAGGAGTGGGTCCATTTCCAGCAGAAGTGCTACTACTTCGGGGAGGGCGCCAAGAAGTGGCTCCACGCGCAGTACGCCTGCGAGGACGTGGGGGGGCGCCTGGCCAGCATCCACGGCGCAGAGGAGCAGGTGCGCCCGGGCTCTGCGGACGCCGGGGGCAGCATGGCGCGGGGGTGGGGGGCGAGGGATTCCCCACACCGCCACCCCCAACCTCCGTGGCAGGCGGGAGGGACCCGGGCCTGTCCCCCCAGTCCTCCAGCCCCGTCTCCCGCCCCCAGGACTTCCTGAGCAAGCGGGCCAGCTGGAAGGGCTCCTGGATCGGCCTCCAGGACCTGGACAGGGAGGGGCAGTTCACCTGGATGGACGGGACCCCCATGGACTACAGGTGAGCGGGTGGGACCACCACAGAGGGAGGAGCACCGGGAGGAGTCCCACCGTGGAGGCGCCCGGGGTCAGGGAGCCGGCCTCTCGGTGCAGGTCAAAGACTGAGGCTCCATGCACAGACCGGGAGGGCCCCCCACCCCGGCCTCTGACCTGACGCCCTTCCCTGCAGCAACTGGTCCCCCGGGGAGCCCAACAACCAGGCCCAGGGCGAGGACTGCGTGATGATGCGGGGCTCGGGCCAGTGGAACGACGCCGCCTGCCACAGCAAGCTGGACGCCTGGGTGTGTGACCGGCTGGCCACGTGCGGGCCACCTACCACCTCGACCCCCGAGGGGCCCCCGGGAACTACTCCCAGCCTTTGACCTCGACAGCCGCCTGCCCAGCCCTCTGTGGTCCTCTCCGCCACCCCTCGCCCACATGGAACTGCCAGGCCCAGAGTGGGCCCCCAAGCACCCTCCACTGAGGCCTGGGTGCCTCCGCGGCCAAAAGGGCCCCGTGACGTTTTCACCCACCCAAACTGGGGCAGCTGGCCCACCCCCAGCTCCTCTGCAGCCCCTGCCCCGTCAGACTGTCCCCCTACTGCCCTCCCCAGAAGCAGCGCCGCAGGACAGAGACCCCAGCTCAGGCAGCGAGACCTCCGGCCCAGCCTGCGTCAATACCAAGGGGCCACGATGGCCCACTCCCTGGCCCCTCCTCGGAGGCCTGGCCAGGTCTGGTCTGGTCTCCGGGTGAGGCACATGGCAGCTGCGAATTCCAAAGCCTGGTGCCTGAGACCACCTTTGACCACTGTGAGCCACCAAAGTGCCACCAAAGTGCAATTCGTACCTTCCCCACCTTTTGCACGCTTTCTTATGTCGTTGTAAGAATGTACTAGGTGGAGCCCACAGATGAAGACTCTGGGGCCCGGGAGACCCCCTGACAATACTGTAGGAGAAGGCAGTGGACCACCCTGAGCCCAGTTCCTCAGGCTGGGGCTGCTGGGGGAGGCTGATGACACATGGCAAGTGCCCAGAACAGGCCTGGTATACAGAAGGCGCCCACTAAGTGCTGGCTGGGGAGTTGTAGGCAAGTTCAGGTCTGGAGGTGCTGGCCCCAGCCCCAAGCTAGGCTGGGGTCAGCCCATGCCCCTGAGGCCACAAGAGGGAGGGTGGGAGGTCAGGATGGCAGGACACCCCTCATCAGACCCCTCTGCTGCTCAGGCCCACGCTGGGTCATGCACGCCTCCTCCCTTTCCCCTGACCCCACCTCCAAGTCCTGTGGGCTCCACCGTCCCGACCACGCTCACAGTCGGCTCACAGAGAAAACCAAAGTCCTACAGGGTCCCTCAACGACCGCAGAACCCATCCCGCCAGCCTCCTCACTGTTCCTTGGACATGCAGTCTCGCCCCCAACCCCAGGACCTTTGCACGTGCAGTTCCCCCTGCTGGATCCATCCCCCAAGTCTCTGCTCCTGGTGGGGCCCATCCCGAGTGTCCCTCCGCTCCCATCTACCCTTAAATCACAGCCCCCACTCCCTGTCCCCCAGTCCCCGCTGTGCTTTCTCACTGCGGCACACTTCCCCTTTCAACGAAACCCACCGTCGACTGATTTCTGCTGCCAGCTCTCCGGTTAGAATGTAAACATCAGGAGGGCAGGCACCTTTGTTCTCAGCGGTGTGCCCAGTGCCTGGCACCGGGTAGGTGCTCAATAAATGTCAGATTAATAAATCTGTGTGCCCACGGACAAATGACTTCTCTCGGAACCCAATTCATGGCCCAGAACACAGGGTGATGCCACTTGCCTGGCCACCGAAGGCTGGTGCTGCCTTCCCTGTCCTCATTCTCCTCCTCCTCCTCCGGACTTGTTACAAATGCAGATTTTGAGGCACGCCCCAAACCTGCAGAATCTGCAACTCTGGGGGTGGGGCCAGGCCACCTGCAATGGACAAGGCCCTAAAGCAAGATCCAGGAATGCCCTGGGGACCTTCCTAAAATGCAGACTTGGACTCAGCGGGTCTGGGGCAGGCCTGAGTCTGCATTTCTGACAAGCTCTCAGGTGATGCTGGGACCACACTTTTGAGTGGCAAAGGTCTAAAGGAGGGTGGGACAGACGACCCCCCTCTCTGCCTGTCTTATAGGCACACAGCCAGGCCCGGTTTCTGACACACTGTCTGCGGCCACTTTGCCTACATCAGCACAACAGAGAGGTTAGACAAGGCTGGGTGCGGTGGCTCACACCTGTTATCCCAGCACTTTGGGAGGCCGAGGCAGGAGGATCGCTTGAGCCCAGGAGTTCAAGACCAACATGGGCAACACAGCATGACCCTGTCTCTACAGGCGGCGTGCACCTGTAGTTACGGCCACTTGGGAGGCCAAGGCCAGAGGATCATTTGAGCCCAGGAGTTGGAGGCTGCAGTGAGCTATGATGATGCCACTGCACTCCAGCCTGGTGACAGAGTGAGACCCTGTCTCTATTAAAAAAAAAAAGAAAAAAAAAAAAGCTAGGCAAGACCACATGGCATGAACTATATCTGGTTCCTTTTGCCAACAGTGTCTAAAGGAGCCTGTCTTGGCCTAAATCCTCCACCGGGAGCACCCCCACCAAGACGGCCTCTAATTACAGTTGTAGAAAGTGCCAGCATTGCCCCCCAGCTCCCCTGCCTGGCTTATGTCCCCACCGCCTCTGGCCTCACCCAACCCCCAGCCCCATCTGAAAGCTCAAGCTCCGCCAGACCGCCCCCACCCCCACCCCACGCCCCTGCATGGCGTTGAGTGGCCCTGAGGCCCCACACAAGACGCGGACACTGGGAGAGGGGGCGCTCTGCATCCTTTATCTCCCACGGGGTCAGCGGCCCTCCAGGGCCCGGTCTCGGGCGATGACCGCCTCCTCGAACTTGATCATGAGCGTGGTGCCCTTGTGCCAGTGTGCCGTGACCTTGGCAGGGAAGCCGCTGTGCGTGAGCACGGCCTCCACGATGCCCGCCGTGAAGCTGGCGCAGTTGAGCGTGCTGTTCTCCTTGGGCACGGAGATGTACGTGTTGATGAGCGGCTCGCGCTCGATGATGTAGAAGGTTCGCGCATCGTCATTGGCCTGTTCCAGCTTGTCGGCCTCCTTGCCAAACAGCGCCTTCCACACGGCGCCCTTGACGAAGAGCAGCGCGCCCAGCACCTTGGTCTCGCGCCGGGCACCCTTTTCGCGTGCCACCAACGCATCCAGCACTCGCGCGCCCACCTGGCGGCCCAGCGCAGCCAGGCGCGCCTGCAGCTCGGCCACCGAGAAGACGCGGCTCTGGCAGTGCTGCACCAGCTCGGAGAAGAGCAGCGCGAAGGCGCTCAGGCTCACTTCGGTGCGCGGCCGCGCCAGCGCGCGCTCCAGCAGCGCCGACTTCCCGCGCGTGAAGCGCGCCTCCATGCCGCCGCCCTACGGGACACGAGGAAACCAGGGTGTCAAGTGCGATGGGAAGGGAACCTGGCGGAAAGGCGCAGGGGAGAACCCAGTGGGGCCCTGGGACAACCCTCCCCCTTCCCCTCAGCCCCCCCACCACCCGGGCCTCGCCACCAGGGTGCGCTCTAGCAGAGAATCTCCACCCGGGAAGAGATGACAAGAAAAGGACCAAGCTGCGCATAGACACGCCTCCATCACGCTTAGCCTGAGAAAGAAAGCGGAGGGGACAGGTGTACACCCTCGGTGGGCACAGAGGGCTTGGGGTGTAAGGTGGGAGGAGAGGCACGAGGGCCACCAGAAGCGGGAGCTGGAAAGCACCCCACCTTCGCGCCTTTGTGTCCCCTCCACCACCTGTGGGAGTAACTAGGAAACTAGTGCATGGGGGTAGAGGCGTCAGAGACTAAGGCAGGGAGGGGACACAGGCAATCTAGCCTCCCCCGCCATGCGCCCCAGCACTGACTACCCTGGGGAACTTCCTGCCCGCTCCCTGCAGAAAGTCAGAGTAAGGCGAGGGTGGGGTAAGAGTGTGTCAAGACCAAAGGCCAGGAGAGGAGAGTTGGGGGCCTGGGGAACAGGCGAGATCTGTGGGGCAGGCCAGGAGTCTTGGGTAACCCCAAACTCAAAGCGCTCAGGCAGCTCGGATTTGCCACGCAGGAGGCCCACGGCCTTTGCAACATGGGTGGCCTCGGTTCTACAGGCTGGACGGAGGGGCCCAGGAAAGGCGTTGGGAGCCCCCCACCACCACCAATGCTCTCCAGAAAGGTAGCTGGGCGGGGTGAGAAAGTAGGGGGAGAGGCGCGCTGTCGGTCCCGGGGGTTGGGGAGGCCAGGAGAGGGCGCTGTGATCCTCCCATCCGGGCGCACGAAGCCACAGCAGCCGGTGAGCGGAAGAGGGAGATGGGAAGGGGGTTGTCGGAGAGGTTGGGGGCGGGGGGCGCTGAGACACCCTCCCTCCCACCCCACTCTCGCCCGGTCCAGTGGCAGGATCCGGAGGGGCAGCTGAGAGGCCCGCCCCCACCATGCACGGACCCGGCCAGAGGGGTCTAGGGGTGCCGAGGCGGCCCCCACAAGGTCTGCATGGCGCAGGGTGGGGGAGCTAGCGGGGGGCACGGGGGACCAGGCCGCTCCAGCACGCGGCCGCCACCAGGCGCAGGGCCCGGAGCGCGCGGGATGGGAATAGGGAGTGTTGAGACCCCCTCACTGGGCTGCGATGGCGGTGGGTGAACTGGGGGCCCCGAGACCCCCGCCCCGGAGCTCTGGACCAGGGAGGAGCCCACCCCTTCCTCGTCGCATCCCGGAGCGGGGGAACCGGGGACTGCGGACGCCGAGACTCCGGCCCAGGACCCACAGGTCCTCAGGGACGGGGCGGGGAGCGGACGAGGCCCGGCACGGGCAGGGGTCGCGGGCGGACGGGGGTCTCACCGGGAACTGAGGCCGTCAGCTCGGCTGAGCTGCTTTACGGCGTCGTAAAAGGCGCGGCGTGCGCAGGCGCGAGGTGGGCCGGGCCTGTGGGTGGGCGGGGCGTGGGGTGGGCGGGGCCCGAGGGCGACCGCCAGGGGGCGCGCGTGTCCGCCGGCCCGGACGGAGAGGTGCCAGGGGTGGGCCGGCCTTGGGTGGCCTGCGATGAGGGGGACAGTAGCACGCGTGGTCACCTGCTCAGGGGCACGCATATGACAGTGGGCACACGCCTGTTGTCTCGTGGGCACGTGCATGCCTTTGGGCACGGACAGAGCTCTTGTCTCTAGGGACACCTGTGTTCTTGGGCACGTTGTCCTCTTGTCTCAAGTACGTCCCTAAGCCATGGGGCGTGCCACATTAGGAGTCATTCACACCTTGGGTTCGTGCTCAGTGGCGCGAATACACTCGCAGGCGCTCGTGGGTACACGCTTAGGAGCTCGTACATACCTGTGGGCCCAGGTACACTCAGGCCGCGTACACTCGGGGCACGGGGGTTCAGCTCCACGTCCAGGGACACGCCAGTACTCACACAGGGCGTTCATTCGCACCTACCCTGGTGTCCCAGGGTTTTCACTTGTCCCATCCCCAAGTCCACTCACTCGCAGACTCTCTTCCTCCAGGTCCTGAGACCCCTCAGTCGCCCCAGTAACAGGCCCCAAAGCCACGTGGTTTCCCCTAGACTTTATTCATTTCTCTTCCCCAATCACAAAACATGAGTGCAGAAATAAATGGACACGAGCGTGTGCCCTGAACACACAGGGTGACGTAATCGAGCTGTGGCACAGGGAGTGCAAGGCACGCCCTGTGACGTTCACGTGTATCACAGTGTGCAACACACACCTCCCGCCATGCCGTCTTTGTACAGGCAACATCCCACAGTACACTCATGCACGTTTACGCGGGCGAGGAGACAGGCACATGTGATGCATGTCACAATACGACACTCGCAGTGACACACGGACACTGACAGCCACCCACCGTGACATGCCTATACTCACATATGTCACATGACACGGGCGTGCACACTACACTCGCTGTGACTCCAACATTCATCATCACCCATCACATTCCGGGGGGCACACTGAAACGCCCGCCCTCCACAAAATGCTCACACGCGTGCGCTCTGGCGGGCACACACACACACACACACACATGCACACGCACGCGCACTTGAGAGCAGCTCCCCAACTCTCGTGCACCGCGACACACGACTTTCTCTATTTGGGCCGAGGGGCAGGTTCACATTAGACTTGGGGGCTCCGTTTCTGTCTTCGTTGGCAGCTGCAGTCCCGTCCTCCAAGCCGAGGCTACGGCGGTGGCATCTCATCTGTTCCAGCTGGGGCTCTGGGGGTTGGGGGCAGAGAGACCCAAGGTCAGGCAGATCCTGCCCCTGGGAGAGGAGCCAGGGCTGGGTCCGAGGCCCCACCCTCATCCACCTCCCCGAGTCCCGACTTACATGCACTTGGCTACTTCTCCAGAGCTTGTAAGATTTTCACTATGTTTGTGTTGATTTTGTTTATTTCTGTCGGGGGGTGGGGTGGTGAATGGGGACAGCTGAAGCTGGGTGGAACCTCAGACAAAGGTCCCTCTCTGCCGAACCCCCGGCCTGCGGTGCAGCAGAGCCTATGTATTTGGGGTGCCCATTCCTAGCCACCTTTAAATAGCTGCTGAATGACTCGGAGGGCAGCATCCATCATCACCCCTCCAAACCCTGAGCTTCGGGGGGACAGGACCCCCACTGTCTCCTCCCCTGAATCCTCCTCCACCCCCCTGTCCAGCGACGAGCACCCCACGGAGGACAGGGCTGCCCGGCACCTGCTGGCTGTGTCTCCAACTTCTCCACCTTCTTCCTGACCTCGGCGATTCTCTCCTCAACAGAGTGGAAGCCCCCCTTCTGCGTCTTCTCACACTCTCGAATCAAGGCTGACACTGAGGGCAGGCAGTGGGGGGTCTGTGAGGCCACCCCTCTCCGGAGCCCCGCCTCAGCTCCACGGGTCTGCCCCAGGCCCTCTCTGCTCACCGTTCCAAAGCTCTGCTTTCAAATTCTGCACCTCCTTCGACATCTCAGAATCTGTTCAAGAGGGAACAGGAAAACGCTTCCAGCTCCTCCATTGGGGGGGAAAGGGACAGGAAGAGAGTGGGGGGGAGGGAAGAAACAGTGGTGGCTGGGACTGCACGTTAGTACAACCTCTGTGGAAAACAGTGCAGAGATTCCCCAAAGAGCTAAAAGTAGACCTACCCTGGGATCCAGCAATCCCACTGCTGGGTATCCACCCAAAGGAAAAGAAATCATTTTACCGAAAAGACGCCTGCACTCGAATGTTTATTGCAGCACAATTCACAATTGCAAAAATGTGGCATCAACCCAAGTGCCCATCAATTCATGAGTGGATTAAGAAAATGTGGTCTCTGTATACCATGGAGTACTACTCAGCCATAAAAAGAAGTGAATTAATGTCTTTTGCAGCAATTTGGATGGAACTGGAGACCATTATCCTAATTGAAGTATCTCAAGAATGGAAAAACAAACACCATGTGTACGCTCTAATAATTTGAAACTAATTAATGGGCACAGAAGGAAATAAAAATTATTGGAAATCAAGAAAGAGGAAGAGGGAGGAGGGAGGGGGTAAAAACCTACCTAACAGGTGCGGTGAACACCATTCGGGTGATGGGCACATTTATAGCATTATAAAAGCTATCCAGGCAACAAAAACATTTGTACCCCCTTCATATTTTGAAAAAATAAAAAGAGATAGGGTGGAAAGGGCAGGTTCCCCAGTGCCCCACGCCCCCCCCAAGAATAAACACTCACTTTTCACCAGGATTAGAGCCGAGAGAATGATGCAAAACAGTAGGGCCACGGTGAGGAGGATGTACAGGCTCATGATGGCCCTGTACAACCAGGGGGGCACCTGGGCAGGGTCCGAGGGTGACTTGGGCTGGGCTGGGAATGGGGCGGAGAAACAGGCCGGGTGACCCACCAGCGCCCAGCACCATCGCTTAGACTGTCCACCAGGGACAGCTCACTCTTCCCAACACCGTCGGCAGCTGTGCCCATCCGCGACACTGCCGCCAACATTCACCCCCCCCCCGTGATTACCCCTAAAACTGCCTGACACCCTTACTAATTCTGTCACCAACACTCGCCAATGCCAATGCCCACGAGTGCTGGGCTGTTTTGAGTTGCTCTAAAGGAGTACCCGAGACTGGGTGATTTACAAAGAGATCCCCTGGCTCACGGATTTGCAGACCGTACAAGAAGTGTGGCACCAGCACCAGGGTTGCCACCATTGTCACCGTCCACTGACCTCATCGGTTCTATTGGCTTCCCGATTCTGCACCTTGTCACTTACATTCACTCTCACTAACACTGTCCCGCGAACCCTTGCCAAGTCGATCAACAACACCATCCCCAGCATTTCAGATACCCCCTCCCCGTCACCATCCTCGATGCCACCACATTGCACATCGTTCAGCCTCCCTGTCCCTGCCAGCGCCCTCCCACACTCACCCCTTCGCAAGGCTGTGGGATGAGGGCAGGTCGCATCTGCTCACCTTGACTCGTGAGCCGTGGGTGACCACCCTTTGGCTGGTTCTGGTTTCTGAAGGCCAAGGTGATATTCTCATAGTCAGGGTCGTTGGCACCTGTGTGTGGGTCAGTGGAAGGGGTTGTGGACACCTGCCCAGAGCTCTGGGGATTTGGGGGGTGGGGGGTCAGGGATCTTGGTTCACCCAACCTCTGCACACAATACATTTCGGGGGGTGGAAAAAAAAAAACAAGAAATGAGGAGGGCTGGGTGTGGTGAGTCACGCCTGTAATCCCAGCACTTTGGGAGGCCAAGGCAGGAGGGATCGCTTGAGGCCAGGAGTTTGAGATCAGCCTGGGCAACATAGCAAGACCCCATCTCTAAAAAAAAAAAAAAAGTAAAAATTAGCCAGGTGTGGTGGTGCTCGCCTGTAGTCCCAGCTACTTAGGAGGCTGAGGCTGGAGCATGGCTTGAGCCCAGGAGATCAAGGTTGCAGTGAGCTGTGATGGTGACACTGCACTCCAGCCTGGGTGACAGAGTGAGACCCTGTCTCTAAAACAAACAAAAGAAATAAGGAGCAAGGTTAAGCAGAGCGGGTGTATGTGGGGGTTTGGGGGACATCTTCTCTTCTCTTCTCTTCTCTTCTCTTCTCTTCTCTTCTCTTCTCTTCTCTTCTCTTCTCTCTCTCTCTCTCTCTCTCTCTCTCTCCTCTCTTGCACACACACACATCGTGAAGGGAAAGGAGACTTCCAGCCCCCACCTCCAGCCCCTCACCTCTCCCATCCCATCTCTCCTCCCCACCCTTCTCCCTTCCCACCTCGACAGCCCTAACCTTCCCGATGGGCTGGGGACCCCCGTTTCTTGTCCTTTAAGGCAGCTGCCTGCATCTCAACCTTCTGGTACCTTCTGTGTACTTTCCTCAGCTCCCACGGGCCCACAGAATGCTAGTTTGTTCACACACATCCCCGCCCACCGGAAGGTGTCGAGGCAGATGGGGAAATCTTGGGGGCAGAGGCAGGAAAGAGGAGCCAGCCTCCTCCCCTCCTCCCCTCCCCTCCCCTCCTCCCCTCCTTTAGGATCCACGAGCCTCCTTTCATCATTGCCCCTAGATTAAGAAGGGTCTTCAGAGACCAAAGGTGTCAGGGAGGGCCAGAAAGAGAAGCCCCTAGACATGGGGACAGAACAGAGTGGTGGGAAACTTTGTAGGAAGCTGTGTGTGGGTGTGGGTGTGTGGGTGTGAGTGTGTGTGTTTTCCCGGATGAACCTCATTCTCCTGCTTCCTCTCTGTCTCAAGCTGTGACACCTCAGGGTCCCACCTTTTAGGGTAAGGGCAGCAGAGCTTGGAGGTAAGATTCCTGGGGCTCCCCTACGCCTCCCTCCGCTGACCCCCTGTCCCACTCCCCCCCCAGCTCCACCCTAAGAAGTGCTTCTTCTCCAAGGCCCAGTGGAGGAAAGGCACGGATGTGAGGCAACGGGGACTAACCACTGGAACACCACACCCGCACATCTGGGACTGAGGGCAGAGTCACCTCCCTCTCATCTCCTGCTAGGTACAGATTCCCCTCCACCCGGAGACCCCCGATGTCTTATTCTCGCCCATCCGTCTGTGCACACATGCACCCTTGCACACACACCTCCAAGCAGTCACAGTCTGCTCACAGAAACACACCACACACTCGTTGGCACGCTTGCCTTGTGTCACCCAGAGAAATAGACATCCGTGTGCATTCACGCGCCTACACACTGTCTACATGGTGCCTTAAAACTTTCTTTGTGTTGATCTGACCTTGAAAACTGGGGTTACAAAAGATAATAGTTACCCAAGCTATTACCATTTCAGCATGTATATGACATTTAAAAATGCATGATTCTGCTGACCGGGGCAGGCAAAAAAAAAAAAAAAAAAAAAATTCATGAGCTAGCTTACCTTCCTTTATTTATTTATTTATTTTTGTTGGTACTAAGTATGTATTGATTGAGCATGTTATTTTGGGCTGGTCACGTGATTCCAATTGCTAAATGGCTGCTATTGGACAGTGGACAGTGCAGGTCTAGATTATTACAATTTCTCTCCCTTTGGGGAAAAAATTAGAGTTTCTAACTATGGGCAGAAAGTGAGTATACTTTGGTTTCAAATATGTGGTTAAACTCAAGGTAAATTTGGAATGATTATTTCTAAGATCTCATGAAGATAATGCTACATTTTCTGAAGTATTGCCAAACTCTGTCTCTCTAAGAAAGATCAATTTAATAGAGATTAGATGTCTGCCTGGGACTGCCTTCTGATGGAACAGTTGCAGAGGAGATGGACCAATTGGGAGGGGGCTCTGCTCTTTTAAAAATAAAATGTGTAGTCAAAGCTCAGGTAGGGTGAAAAAGAAAAAGAGAAAATAAATTAAATTTAAATAAATAAATAAGAAAATGCATCCTAAATCCAGCCAACTATAAACCAGGGATTGGTTTAGGATGGGCACATGATCCAGGCCCAGCCAATCAGAGTCTAAGATTTGGCACAGGGGCGGGCATTGGAGGCAGATCCAGCCAATGATACTCTGTTCTGGGACTTTTGTTGGTATAACCAGGAAAAAAAGCCTTTCTTTCTTTTTTTCCCCCCTCCACTGGGACTGCCAGTTGGGGAGGGTGTAAGCCTAGAGTTGCGACAAAGAAGGACCTACTTGAAAGTGAAGGCAGCACTGAGAAAAGCAGACCTGAGAGGGAATCTGTGTCCTAGAAACATCATTTGAGACCCTGGATCCAGCCATACCTGAAATTGTTGTTCTAATCTTGGGCCTTTCAGTTACACAAGCCAGAAACTTCCTCTTATTTTTGCTCAAGCTAGTGGGGTCTTCAGCATTTGCAACCAGAAGAATTTTGCCTACCACAGTGGCTAAGCATTGGCTGATGAGGAAACAGAGGCTCAAGTAGGGATCTTGCCTGTCCACATCACATACGCAGATATGATCTCCAAGTCTGCACTCTGGGACAGGAGGATGACTGAGTTGGAATTGGGGGCTCTGAAGAGGCCCTTTTTGGGGTCCAAATACAGGAGGACAATTGAGTCATTAGAGACAAAGAGGCATTCACACCAGGGTCTGGGGACAATGGTGTCCCTCCCCCCTTCCACACAAGCACCAGTGAGGAGGTGGAACTCACAAGGCACAAGACTCACCCTATCTGGTCCTGACCACATTTCTGACTCATGGGTTCCAGCGCACACCCATGGCCACAGTGGTGTCAGGAAGGAGGGTCCGGGAAGGGAATCTCTGGGTTGGAATCTGGGTGGGCTCCAGGGCACCAGGAGTGTTTGTCATCTCTACTCATGGCCACCACAATCAGATGGGGGGCTGGGGCATCATAGTGGGTGCATGGCAGGGGGAGGAGAGTCCAAAATCCTGCAAACCAGGACCTCACCCTGTCACCTATTTTCCAGTTGTGACCATTGAATCTGGGATCCCTTTCAAGACTGGGTGCTAGAGAACCCAGCACCTGAAGTCTGTCGTTGCATCTCTTGGGGTCTGAATGCCAGGACTCATGGGTTAGGATTCCTAGACAACTGGACCCTGAGTCACCTGGCTTCGTCTCTCCAGGGAGCTAGGGCAAGGGACACCAGGCGTTTTGCCTTCTGAGGCATTCAGTACTCATCCTGGGTGCAGTGGAGACTGGACGTTGGAAGCACAGGAGTCTGTCTGGAGCGTATATGTGTCTGCTCTCCTCACCATGCACCTACCTGTGATTCTCGGTGTGCATTCAGGGGTGCCTTTCTGTGTGCATGTGTGTCTGTGGGTACATGGGTGTGTCTGGGGACGTGATGTCTCTGTGTGACCATGGTGAGTTGCATACTGTGTGTATACACGAAGTCTGTACACCTGGGTGTTGTCTCTAAGTGTACACGTGGCTATTTATTCAACAAACGTTTACTGAGCACCTACTGTGTGCTGTGCTCTATTCTAAGCCCCAGGGAGGGATACAAGCAGCAAACACTCCCCCTGCCCTGTGTTTCCTACTCTAGTGCTCATGAGGGGTAAGTGCCCTGCGCACACCTGTTGCAACTAACTTCTTGCAACTGCACCTGCACGTTACAAAACATAAGCTTATGCTGCCTGACCTCAAGTAGACGTTCTCTGTCGGCCCCTGCGAAAATTCCTTCCTGTCGGTGACCTGACTTTGCCTGGGCCGTGGGGGCTCCTCCTCCAAGGGGGGCAGGGCGGGGAGGGTCTCAGGGCTCTGGGCTGAGAGATGGTTCAGGGCCCAGCCCTGACCCTGGAGCTGCTGGGGTCTTGGGGCCCTGGAGCGTCCCATCCACTGCCCAGACTGACCCTGATCCTAGATGACGCTTCATTTTGGGGGTGTGTGGCAGAATGACCCGGAAACTTCCTGGGGAGGTCAGAGACCTGAGGGTGACCATCAAGGTGGCCTCAAACGTGAGTGTCACTTCTCTTCCTGGAGGCGGTCGCCAGCCTTGGGTGGCGGTGTCATTAAAGGAAGCCTAGGCCCCCTTCTCGGAGGAAAGGGTGGGAGACAGCTTGGGACGAGGCGGGGTGGGGCAGAAGACAGTCGCGGTAACCGCGCCCCCCAATAAAGAAACCACGCGAGGCTCAGGTGCGCTCCGTTAACATCGTCATCACGTCTCCTGGTTTATTTCCAGCCCCGCCCCCGGCCTGACCCCGCCCCCCTCCCCCCCCCCCGCCCACGCGGCGCACGCGCGACCTCAGGCGCCGGTGACCTGCAGGCGACAGCAGCGCGCTCCGGTCCAGTCCATGCCCGCGCACTGGCAGTGGCATGTGGTCTCGGCGCGCACGTCCCACGAGCCGCAGGCGGAGCCACACGTGCAGCCGGTGATGGCGAAGCCTGCGGACGGGAGCGGGGAGCTGGGACCCCGAGCTGGGGGGCTGCGGGGGTGGGGGTCGGGTGGCTGGAGGCTCCCACCAGGGAATGGGCGCATGGAGGAGGGGGCGGGGCGGCTGGGGACCTGGACACCAGTGTCCTAAGGAAGTGGGTCCCGGAGCTGGGGTGGGCGGAGAAGGCTGGGGGTCCAGACCCGACCCCGGGGAAGTAGGCGCGGGGACTGCAAGGGACTTGGAACAGAGCTGGGAGCCTGGATAACAGACTTCTCCACTCACCTGCGGGACAAGTGGCCAGGTCTCCCCTGGAGGTGACAGTCTGGCAGTTCAGGACAATGTTGCCTAATGCCCCCAAAACTGCAGGAGGGAGGGAAGGGGGCGCTGTGAGACCAAACTGCCCCCCCATCCTCCTGCTGCCCCACCCTGGCGATTTGGAGAAGGCCTAGATGGCCCAGGCCCTGGGGGACAGCTCCCCTCCTCCCGGGATCCCCTGTCTTGACTTGGGGTGTCTTGGGAAGGTTTGGGGGGAACAGGTGGAGTTGGGCTTGGAGCTGTTGCTAAAGGCGGGGCTGCGTGGCGGTTGGGAGTGGGGTCGGATTTGAGGATGAGATTTGGTTCGCTCTGGGGCTGGGTTGGGGTCAGGTGGGTGCTGGGGATCAGGGAGAGATCTCTGGGACCCTTGGCGGGGCTGGCTGAGGGGGTCCTCACTTAGCGAGCTGGTGCTCTCCTGGATCTTAGCATCGATGGCTTCATCCACCGGACACAGTGTCTTGCTGGACACCAGCAGCCCCAGGACGGGGAGGAGGAGGAAGGAGAGAGCCTTCATCTTACAGGTGCTGCAAGAGAGAACCAAAAGACACTTAGCATGGTGGGGAGGGTCACGCCTAGGGTCCCTGTGGGGAACAGGGATGGGGGCCCAGCTCTGCCCCCCCCGGCCCCCCATATGGGGGCTGTGGCAAGGGCAGGAGCAGCTGTCACTTACCCTGCGGTGGGCTCAGCTGGCCAAGTCTGGAACAGGAATTCCTATGCCACAGCACTCTGTGTCAGAGGTCTCTGGGTGTGGCTAGAAAGTCCCTTGGCCCCTGACCCACCCTTCCCACATCCGGGCCAAGAGGAAGCCCCCGAGCACACTCTAAGGGGGGGAGGGGAGAGCTCTACCCACCTCCCTGCCACCACTCCACCTTCAATAGCTTGTCCCCGGCCGGGCGCGGTGGCTCACGCCTGTAATCCTAGCTCTCTGGGAGGCCGAGGCGGGCGGATTGCTCAAGGTCAGGAGTTCAAAACCAGCCTGAGCAAGAGCGAGACCCCATCTCTACTATAAAAAATAGAAATAAATTAATTGGCCAACTGATATATATATATATATAAAAAAAAATTAGCCGGGCATGGTGGCGCATGCCTGTAGTCCCAGCTACTCGGGAGGCTGAGGCAGAAGGATTGCTCGAGCCCAGGAGTTTGAGGTTGCTGTGAGCTAGGCTGACGCCACGGCACTCACTCTAGCCTGGACAACAAAGCGAGACTCTGTCTCAAAAAAAAAAAAAAAAAAATAGCTTGTCCCCCTATGTCCAGGGTCTAGGCCCAGGAAATAGGGCAGCTGCCATCGATGGACTATGCTCGTTCACACCCATTGCTAGACACGAGCGGGGAAGGGCAACATTTTTTCTGGAAAGAGTCAAACAGTAATATGTTCAGCTTTATGGACCACGCTGTCTGCACCACTCAACTCTGCCATTGTCGCGTATGAATGACATTGATGCTATATAAAAAGTGGGCACGCTGTATTCGAGGAAAAGTTTATTTATGGACACTGGAATTTGAATTTCACTATCGCCACAACCAGGCATGGTGGCACGTGCATGTAGTCCCACCACGCAAGAGGCTGAGGCAGGAGGATCGCTTGAGCCCAGGAGTTGGAGGTCGCACTGAGCTATCGTGATGCCACTGTACTCTAGCCTGGGTGACAGCAAGACCCTGTTGATAGATTTAAAAAAAAAAAAAATGTACCTTTCTTAAGTGTTCAGTTTGATGCATGTTGACAAATGTATATACCTGCATGCTACTTGTTTTGTTTTTCCCAAGTGTTTGTCTTTTAAATCAGGTTTCATTAAGGTGTCATTTACATGTAGTGAAATTCTGGGCACAGTCGTGGATCCATCACAACCAAATACTTTAATTTATAATTGGGGGAAAAGGGGGTTTCTGAAAGCCTGAAGGAAAAGGTCTCCTTGTCCCCTTAAGCCACTAGATAGTATTTTTCTGCCCACAGGACTGATTTTACTTGTGAATATTCATAACGGCCACCAGCTTGTCCTGTTAATATACATCTGTCCTTGAAGGGGGCTGGTATCACTCGGAAACCTAGAAACTGTCGCCATCCTGTGAAACTGACCTCCAGAGGAAACCTGGCCTCTGATTAGCTGCCTCACAGGATGATAACTTGTTGCCCTGGTGACAATGTCGTGATGCCTGGTGGCCCTGCCATATCAGAAAAGAATCATTGACACTTGCTTCCCCTCCCATGGGAATGATGGAAAATAGAATTTAAAGCCTTGGCCAGATTTCCAACTTGCAGTATAGGAGACCGGGCGGCAGAGGACAGGCCAATGGCTGTGTCTTGGGGCAAGTGGCAGCGAGACCCTGGAGGGTCCCAGTGTTAAAGACCCTGCATTTAAGGCCAGGCGCGGTGGCTCACGCCTGTAATCCTAGCACCCTGGGAGGCTGAGACGGGAGGATCGCTTAAGGTCAGGAGTTCGAGACCAGCCTGAGCAAGAGCGAGGCCCTGTCTCTATAAAAAAATATTTTTAAGAAATTATTTTAAAAAGACCCTGGGTTTTCCTTTGCAGAGACCCACTCACTCCTCTGTGTTCCTGCCGGGGAAAGGGAACTTCCTACAGAAACTGGCAAGTCCTTCACTCCAGGGCTCTTGGTGAGTTCTGAGATGATCTCAGAACCTTAATCCTGTGTTAAGCAGTTTATGCACATGATCTCATTTAATCACCCCAAACACTGAGTCAGGTAGGAATGATTATTATCTCCACTCCACAAAAGGAAATAGTGAGGCCCAGAGAGGCTAAGTAACTTGTCCTGGCTCACACAGCTAGCATGTGGAGCAGCAATTCGCCAAAACCATCACATTTCAGCCACAATGCTATGTGTGTATTGGGGGGGGGGTCTGCTGCTTCTTCCAAAAAGTATTATTCTTTTGAGAATATTCCTAAAGCTTTTCCTTTTCTTTTATAAAGTTTATAGTATATAGTTAAGGTATACAACACAATGTTTTCAGATACCTATAGATACTGGGTGCCAGGTGGGATGGCTCACGCCTGTAATCCCAGCACTTTGGGAGCCCAAGGGAGGAGGATCACTTGAGGCCAGCCTGGACAACATAGCGAGACCCCATTTCTGCAAAATATTTAAAAACTAGCTGGGTGTGGTGGCATGCGCCTGTAGTCTCAGCTACTCAGGAGGTTAAAGCAAGAGGATTGCTTAGCCCAGAAGTTCAAGTCTAGCGTGGATGACAGAGCCAGACCCTGTCTCTAAAGAAAAAGGAAAGAAAAAAAACCTGAAATCAAAGAAAGTATCTTTATTTTAAAAGGAATCAAAGAATATAGGTGTTTCTAAACTAAAACTTCCCCTGTGTTCCTACTCCCCCTAGAGTAACCAAGAAATGGGGGGTCAGTTATGAAACAACCCACAGCCCCTTGATTGAGGAACTGTGGATGGAAGGGAAGGGGTGGGGACAGGGGGCCGTCTGGTCACAGTTTCCTGGAATAAAATTGAGCCACCAGCCTCCACCGCGTGCCCCAGGACGGCTCACGTGCTAGCTCCCACACTCTCCCCCAGTAGTCATGTGCACTTTCACACATGGAAAAATTGATCCTGTGGAAGTAGAGCCACCTTGAAAAGGTCACCGGCCAGCTAGATTTCAGAGGCAGACATGTCTGATGCCATAGTCCTTATGCTTTTAGAGATGGGGTCTCACTCTGTTGCCCAGCCTGGAGTGCAGTGGCACGATCATAGCTCACTGCAGCCTCAAACTCCTGGGCTCAAGCTGATTGCCACCACACCTGGCTAATTTATAATTTTTTTTTTTTTTGAGACAGAGTCTCACTTTGTTGTCCAGGCTAGAGTGAGTGCCGTGGCTTCAGCCTAGCTCACAGCAACCTCAAACTCCTGGGCTCAAGCAATCCTCCTGCCTCAGCCTCCCGAGTAGCTGGGACTACAGGCATGCGCCACCATGCCCGGCTCATTTTTTCTATATATATCAGTTGGCCAATTAATTTCTTTCTATTTATAGTAGAGACGGGGTCTTGCTCTTGCTCAGGCTGGTTTTGAACTCCTGACCTCGAGCAATCCGCCCGCCTCGGCCTCCCAGAGAGCTAGGATTACAGGCATGAGCCACCGCGCCCGGCCTATAAATTTTTTGTAAAAGTGGGGTCTTGCTATGTTGCCCAGGCTGGTCTCAAACTCCTGGCCTCAAGTGATCCTCCTGGCTCGGCCTCCCAAGTAACAGGTGTGACCCAGCAAGCCGGACCCTCACTTTTTACCAAGGCTTTGTCCCACCCACACCACAGCAGGCAAAAGTTGAGGGGCACAGGGACAGACCTGTGGAGCCCCCTCTGGCCACCCGATCTCTGTCTCCTTTGCATCCCTTCCTGCCTTGCCCTGCCCAGAGCACTGGAGCAACAAAAGCAAAGGCTCCAGGGAGTTCAAGGCAGCTGGGTGGTTATGCACAAGGAAGCTGGAACCCCTTCCTGGCATCAAGTCCCAGCTCAAGGCCACTAGCTGTGCAGCCTGAGCAAGTAGCTAAGCACCTCTGGGCCTCAAGTTTCCCCATCTGTAAAATGGGAGTGTTATTAGTGACAACCTCCCTGACCGTGGTGGGGACTAGGCGAGTGCTTTATGGGCATTGACATCAGCTATACAAGGCAGGGCGCTGCACACAGCAAGTGCTTCATACGTGTTGCCTTTCATTATTATTGTTCTAGAACTTTCCCGGCCACCAGCAGAGATTGAGACTCTGAGCTCAGAAGGGAACTGCGGGCCCCTGAGGTGGACAGCCTCCACTGCTAGGGTTTCCATGTCCCGCCCGGCCCACATGCAGCCCTGGGGACCCCACGTTCTCGTCCCAGCGGAAGGGAACCTTCCCACTTGCGGGGCGATTGCCTCACCCAGACGCCTTTTCACAATGTTCTTGGCAGCGGCTGTTGGTTAACTTGTGTTTTAAGATTTTGAGCAACTTTACACACAAAAACAAAAAAGGAAGCTCCCCTTGCTTGCTCGAAGTCAGGGCTGCCCCGGGGGCTCTGGCCTCCCTCCTGCCCTGTCTCACTTCCATGAGCTGTCCTTAGCTAACCGAGTGACAGCACTTCCTTTTCCTGTCTGGGGCCACTAAGCCCCCTTTGGGGGCCTCCAGGCATTTCTTATTTTGTCCCCATTTCTCTGCCCCCGGGGTCTCTGGTTTCACCATGCCACCACCCCCCCCTCCCAGCCTGGCCAGCAGCTCTCATTTGCCCTGTACTCTCACTTTTCTTATTTTTTATTTTATTTTTTTTTAGAGATGGGGTCTGGCTCTGTTGCCCAGGCTGGGGTTGAAGTAGTACAATCATAGCTCATTGTAACCTCAAACTCCTGGGCTTAAGCAATCCTCCCGCATCAGCCTCCTGAGTAGCTGGGACTACAGGCGCATACCATCATAATGGACTAATTTTTTAATTTTTTTTTTAAAGAGATGGGATCTTGCTATGTTGCCCAGGCTGGTGTTGAACTCCAGGGCTCCAGCCATCCTCCCGCTTTAGCCTCCCAAAGCATTGGGATTATAGGTGTTAGCCACCACACCCAGCATATTTTTCATTTTTTCTTTATTTATCTTTCCTCATTTTTTTTTTATAAAAGGTGAGCAAGTTCAAGACCACAAACCTTTCACTATGTCAATGAATTATAATATTATTCTAGAGAGTCTCCTTCGTACCACAAGAAGGAGAACTCTCACGCTGTGATGCGTATAAACACAGGTGATCACCACTGTTCTCACCTAATAATCATAATCATTAATAATAATTAATTACAATGTAACTGCAAGGGACCCTCAGAC